GTGTAGGGAGGCGAGGGGAGGAGAGGGAAGAGAATGACTGCAAGCCCTCCAGGCCCCTGGCTCAGTGCGGACAGACACAGGAGAGCCTGCCCCTCCGGGAAGGGTATCGCAGTGAGTGTGAGTGTGAGTGACTACTCCGGAGAAAAGCAGGAGGCCCTCCAGTGCTCGGGGGAAGCTCATCGCAGGAGAACCCCGACACTGGAACTCCTGTTAGCAACAGCTCGTGCACCAGCCACTGCCCTGCGCTTCGACGACTGACCTGCCCGAACCCCGGCTGCAGGTTAACCATTCTGTTTGGACCCCCCAAGCCCCCTTCTGAACTTCTGAAGGCAGCTTCCCAGACAGCCAGCCCCTCTAACAGCCCCAGAGAAGCCTGAAGCTGCCAAGGGCAGGGTGCTGGGCTCAGGCCAGCCAGGGGTCGGGGGGCTCCCGGCTGGTACCTTGCGTTTGATGAGTGGAAACCCATGTCCTGGGGCTGGGGGTCTCGCTGGCTTGGAGCCCTTGGTGGCTTTCTTTGTGGTCGGGGATGCTGCAGGCGACGGCTTCCGGTTGAAAGGGTTCTCCTTGCAGGATGACTAAAGGCGGGGGGACATGGCAAAGGGTGAGTCTGGGAAGTGGACAGTCAAGATCGGGACAACCTGATGGTGGGAAGACAGAAAGCAGGGCCAGCAGGCGACGCAGTGGTTAAGGTGCTGGACTCCCAACGGCTGACCATGAATCGAGTCCTAGACCCAGAGGCTTGGGATGTGCTGGTGTGTGCACGTGTGCGCCCAAAACCCCAATGGAGAAAGAAGAAGGAATTGCAACATGGCTGTCCCCTTGCCGGAGGGTGATTTCTCACTTTCTGTCTCTCCATTTCTTCTCTGTTAGTGTACACACCCTATGGCAAAAATCTCTGGGGAAAAAGAAAGAAAGCTAGAAAGCAGGTCAGGCCCTGGGAGCAGGAGGGCTCAACCTCACCTATGGGGGAGGAAGCGGGCCAGGCAAGAGGAGAATCTCCTGATTTCTGTCTCCAAAGCACTCAATCATTCAACAAATGCTCTCATTTCCAGAGCTCAAGACCACACACTTCCCAAGGGCCCCGGGTGGGGTGCAACCGGGCAGCCATCCGGCATGTCGGGCGGTGCTGGGAACACAGTTTAGGGCTTGTTCAGGCCTCGCAATTGCACTTTCCCCAGTAGGGTTTCCAAGGCTCAGAGAAGTGAAGGTCCTGACCGAGGGCCGCCCAGCCAGGAAGTACAAGAGTAGGGATCCCACCTGGTCCGGCCATCAGTGGAGGAGGAGGGTAGCTCCCTCCTTGCCTGGGGAAGACTCCCACTAGCTTGTTGGAAATGGGTGTGATCACGGGCCCCTTAAAAACGCCTTGCTTGCGGCCTTGCTGCTCGTGGGCCCACATTCATCCAGCACTGGAGGGACCTGGGCCCTCCCCTGCACCACCTCGGGGAGAGACTCAGGCTAGGGATCGCTCTGGGGTTTCTGCAGCACCAAAAGGGCCAGGCCAAGTCCCACCAGCAGGGAGGCAGGGTTTGGTTATCTTGGGGCAGTATTCGCCCGACAGCAGACCCCAGAGACTTTTCTCTCCTGCCCTCACTGCCTCTGAAATTCTCTAATCCTAGAGTGCTGTGGCTGAACGTCACCCCGAAATTCATGTGTTGAGATTTGGTTGGGAGGGGATTAAGAGAGTGAAAACTTACACTAAGAGGTGGGAAGATGGGGCCTTTGAGAAGAGATCATATTGGGGGCTGGGAAGTGGCGTAGTGGACTTCCACATGGCCAGCCATGGTTCGAGTCCCAGACCCAGCAGCTTGTTCTCACTCTCTCTCTGTCCCTCTCTGGTCAAATTAAAATAAATAAATAATTTATTGTTTATAGGGACCAGCAGTTGGTGTAATGACTATGTCGCTGGACTCCCATGTAGTCAACCGTGGTTCAAGTCCTAGACCTGGTGGCTTAAACTCACACGAAGCATGTGTGCGTGCGTGCCCAAGATCCCGAGAGAATGGAGGAGAAGGGATTGCGGTGTGGCCATCCCCCCCCCAGGGGGGAGATTTCTTCCTTTCTGTCTCTCTGTTTCTCTCTGTCTCTCTAGCGAGTGCACACACCCTATGGCAAAAACCTCTCCAAAAAAAAAAAAAAAAGTATTGTTTATAAAAAGAGGGAAGAGCAAAAACCTCTCCGAAAAAAAAAATAAAAAAGTATTGTTTATAAAAAGAGGGAAGGAGACCAGAGCAAAGGATCAGGGACAGCCACTGTGCTCTGGCCCTCCAAACGTGACAGCTCTGTAAGAGCCCACCCGACGCAGCCCTGCACCTCAGCCCTGCACACCGTGAGCTGAGTAAACGTCTATTCTTATGAATCACCCAGTTTCGGGGTGTTCTGTCACTACAACAACACGGACTACGGGGAGGGCGGGTTCTTCAGAAGGAAGCCCACTGGGGTTCTGCCCCCTCCCTCCACGAACACTCCCAGAGGGGCCCAGAGGAGACACACAGCCCCAAAGCTCCCTGTGGAGATGAAGTTTATCCAGAAAAGGGCTGCCAGATGGACACGTAGGCGGGGAGATGGAAGGCTGAGAAGAGGCGGGGAGGGCGGCTGCCCGGCCTGCTCACCAGCTGACTACGTGACTGCCTGTCACGAGAGCTCTTTCCCGAGGTGCTTCATTCCAGGTTTGCAGCCTGCGCTGGGCTGGCGGAATCTACCATCCTGTCAGCAGGTCGCCTCAGGCGCTGCTGCTAATGGACTTGCACCCAGGCCTGGCCTTCCCCATCTCGGCTCCTCTGTTCTCTCCAGGTTTCCGCCATTTCCATCTGGCTGTGCTGCTGGTAGGATGCAAGCCCCAGGGCTGACCTTTCCTAACTGCCAGAGGGCACATGTGCCCACCAGAGCACTCCGCAGGGGCCTTGGTCAGGTGGCAATCCATTTCCTCCACTTCTCCGTGCCTTTGGGACTTCCGACACACAATCAAATATGTCCAGTGTGGGGACCAGCTGTTGGTGTAATGGCTATGTTGCTGGACTCTCTGTAGTCAACAGCGGTTCGAGTCCCGGACCCAGTGGCTTAAACTCATGCCGGGCGCGTGTGCGTGCATGCCCAAGATCCCAAGAGGAGAATAGAGAAGGGATTGCAGCGTGGCCATTCCCCCTGAGGGGTGATTTCTTGCTTTCTGTGTCTATGTCTCTGTCTTTCTCGTGAGCGCACGTGCCCTATAGCAAAAACCTCTCCAAAATAAAACAAACAAACAAAATATGTCCAGTGTGGTTTTTTTTTTTTCTTTTTTTGGAGAGGTTTTTGCTATAGGGCACGTGCGCTCATGAGAAAGACAGAGAGACAGAGAGACAGAAATAAGAAATCACCCCCCAGGGGGGATGGCCACACCGCAATCCCTTCTCCTCCATTCTCCTCTCAGGATCTTGGGTACGCACGCACATGCATCCGGTGTGAGTTTAAGCCACTGGTCCAAAACTCGAACCACGGTCGACTACATGAAAATCCAGCAACATAGCTATTACGCTAACTGCTGGTCCCTCCGCTGTGTTTTTCAAGCCAGCAGGGCCAGGACTCGAACCACGGTCAGCCATGTGGGATCTGTCTCCCTACACACGGCTTGCAGACACTGTCCTCTTTTTGGATGGTTGCTTTGTGAAAGCAATAAACTCCCTTTTTTTTTTTACGATTCCTGCTTTACACCTTATTTTTAATTGCCAGATGCATTTGCACATGCCAGAGAGAGCGAGGGAGAGAAGGAGACAGCACCCCTACTGGGCACGGTCACGCATTCTCTTCCTTTCTCCATCCTGTCAGGATTTGGCCATGCACACAGATAGACCCAGTGTGTTTTCCAAGCTGCTGGGGCTGGGATTTGAACCACATAGTCAATCATGTAAGATCCAGTTCCCTTAACCACCAGGACGCAGGATTACCCAAGAGTGGTTCTTTTTGATACTCTCAAGGGTTTCTTTAGCCTTTTCTCAGCTACAGAACTCCTAAAGCCCGTCTCTCACAGGGCCCCAGGACTAGAAACAAATGTGTAACAGGGTTGCTCGCTCGCACCTCGGCTCAGAGCTAGAACTCAAGGCTGGCCCCCAAGGGATGGGTCCGGGTATGTATAGAACTCCTCCCTGGGTACACCAGGCATACCCATCCGGGCTGGCTGAGGCTGGGCAAGGACTGCGGCACTGGGACCCTACTGGAGGGTCTGATTCTCTCATTTACTCAGGCAAGACACGCACCTCTTAAAAATGGTGCTGTGGGCCAGCTGGTGTCGTAGTGGTTAAGACAGGTGGATCCACATAGCCAACTTCATGCTTCGAGTCCTGGACCCGGCAACATAAAAAACACACCAGGCACATGTGTATGTGTTCCCAAATCCCAAGAAGAGAATGAAAAATAGGGGACCGTGGTGTGGCCATCCCCCTGGGAGAGTGCTTTCTCTCTCTCTCTCGTTGGCAAGCACATGTGCTCTATAGCAAAACTAGAAAACCATGGTACAAACGCAAGGGGCAGCAGTGAGCCCAGAGCTGACCCACTGCAAGGCTCCCGAGGCCAGGGAACCCAGGGCTGTTCGGAGCAGGCTGGAGGCCTGGTGCTGCTCAGCGCCCCCAGAGCCCAAGGCCCAGAGTTGGGGGCCTTCTCAAGGTCACCCTGCAGGTGGGGGCAGAACTGGAGCTGGTGCCCCGAAGGGAAGGTAAATGCTGTCTGAAAGGCCCAGGGCAGGGGTGGACCCATGCTGGTCAAGCCACTCTGCTGCCCACGTGAGTGCCCTGCCACCACCCCACCCCGGGCCTGATGAGCCTCAGGCACTCAGAGGGCCCAGAGAGCGGAGCAGTCCAAAGGGGCTTGGCTGCAAAAGATACTGGGTGCCCAGATGCCCCGACCTAGGCAACTCCGAGGTTGGCAGTGTGGGGTTGAGGCACAAGGGGGCGATAGTCCACAACCTGGAGAGTGGCTGCCTGGGATGGTACCCACCGCTACCCCAAGAGAAGTCAGCCCAGTGAGGGCAGTGTCCAAAACACCCTGCCGCACACAACAGGTGCATCTCTACCAGGAAGCGTCCAGGCCCTCCTGCCCACGGGGGCTCAACTGCAGCACACAGGGGACGAAGCATTTCTGCGCCCCCACACATGCCTGGCTATAAGCACCAGGACAGAGACCTGCACACCTGCAGGACCTCAGGAGCCTTGGTGGTCCGGCACACAGGAGGTGCCCAGTGAACGCCAGCTGCCCCATCCTATGGCAGGGGGCACCCAGGGCCCTGTCCCCTCCCCTGTGCTCTATCCCAGACCACCTTCTAGGACAACTGTTCTGTCTGTCTCCCCAAGGAGACTGTGAGCCCCTGTGAGCCCCAGGGTCTTAATGCAATGGCACCCAGGGTCTGGCATCCACAGAGCCTGAGTGGGAAGAAGCATACAGAGGATCCTGGCTGGACCAATGGGGCCCAGGTGGGCCCGTGCGTGGGACAGGCAGGGGACCAGGTGCCTGGACGCATAGTGCACAGAGTGCTGCAGGGTGGACTTGTGAACGAGCAGGCAGGAGGCCTGCAGGTGGAAGGAAAGATGGACAGAGGAGACGGGTACGTGCCTCGATAGCCAGAGCGACGAGGCAGACGGGTATAGCCAAGGCCACTGCAGAAGTCAGCAGTCAAGCCAACTTAAAATCAAGGTCAAGGGAACCAGCAGTTAGCGTAATGGCTATGTCGCTGGACTCCCACGTAGTTGACCGCGGTTCGTGTCCTGGACCCGGTGGCTTAAAACTCACGCCAGGCACGTGTGCGTGCATACCCAAGATCCTGAGAGGAGAATGGAGGAGAAGGGATTGCAGCATGGCTATCCCCCCTGGGGGGTGATTTCTCGCTTTCTGTCTCTCTGTCTCTCTCTGTCTGTCTGGCGAGCGCACGCGCCCTATAGCGAAAACCTCTAAAAAACAAAAACAAAACAAAACAAAACAAAAACCAAAGTCAAGTCAGGGGCCAGCAAAGGTGGAAGGCCCTGGACAATCCTGCCCTGAGACCAAACCCACGTCCGTGGGGAAGACTGTACTCTCAGCAAGCAGGAGAGGAGCACTCACCTTGACCTGCAGCTGTGGGGACAAGGTTCCCGGGGAAGGCGCAGGGCTTCTGTCTCCAACCAACAAGAGAGGGGTGGGGGCGGCGCCACTGCAGGGCTTGGCTGGCTGCAGCCCGGGGCTGCCCCCTGGTCTGGGGGTAAGGCCAGAGCTGGCTTGAGGCGTCTGCTCCGTGCCATGCTGCACCAGCTCCCCAGAGGAGGACAGGGAGGAGTGGGTGGAGAGGTTGGCAGAGTTTCCAGAGGTGCCAGGGGGAGCATGGACAGCAGGCTCTGAGGAGCTCTTGGGCACAGCTGGCGGCTCCAGAAGGTCCCTGCTGGCAGTCTGGCTGGAGGTCTCGGAGGACAAACTCTCCACACTGAGGGCTGGCGATGGCGTGGCTGATGGTGGCTCCGAGTGCGAGAGGCGGGAAGCATGGAGGGCTGCATGAATGAGTGGGCACCCCAAGGAAGGCAGTCAGAGCCCCAGCCTCGCCTGGCAGGCTCCACCCCCATGGAGCTGCAGGTGCCCTGGAACCTAAGCCCTTGCCTGGCCAGATGGGCGAGGCCCTGAGAATGGCTCAGGCAGGACCAAGGTCGTAAAGAGCTGTGCACACTCGTCAGAAGCCATCCCACACCCTGGTGCTCTGGCCTGCGCCTCAGGGCACTGCTGTGGTCCCCGCTCCCTTGTCCACAGCCCTCTGTGCCTGTGCATCCCAAAGGCAAAGCTGCTCGGGCTGGGGAGGTGGGAATGGTGCACGGGAAGGCCGGAGGGAGCAAGGCTGAACTCTCGGCCTCTGACCTGTGATGCCCAGCCGAGGTGGGAGGGAGGAGCATTGTGCACATGAGCAGCAGAGGGTCACCAGTGCCGGGGCTGACCCCGCCATAACTGGCTCCAGGGCTCGTGCCCCTGCACTGGCCCCTACTCTGCCCACCACCCACCATGTGAGACCATGCTCAGCCAGGCGGTCCCACGAGCTACTGGTGGCAGATGTCCCCAGGCGTGGTGGAAGGCCAAGCCCAGGGTGTTGAAGACTGGGAGAAGGTAAGAGCCTCACGTTACAGTGGGGCTGGGTGGCATCCCACCACCATTTCACAGATGGGGAGACTGAGGACAGACACAGGAAAGCATGGCTCTCTGAGTCACGAGACACGCCCATGCACAGAGCCAGACGTGAGCCCAAGCTGCTCGCTCACTCAGCAGCTACGGAGACAGTGCGCTGGGCAGGACTGGGGCTTCCAGGAACTCAGCAACGTGCTGAGGGTTAAGGTGTGGACTCTCGAGCCAGACTGCCCGGGTTCTAATCCTGCCTCCTTTGCTTAAATGCTGTGAGACCTTAGGCAAGTTACTTGGCCTCTCTGTGCCTCTAAGGCGGGAGCAGTAAAGCCTGCTTGAAGGCTTGCTCTGGTATTAGTTGGAAGGATAGTGCGGAGCACATGGCACCTGGCTGGAGAGGCTCCCAGTACCACCACACCCTCGCTCACCCCAGGCTTAGCCAGGGACCCGACCCCAGGGTTCCAATTCCAGGAAAGACACTCACCTAGTGGGGACGTACTAGGTGCCCGGGGGGCAGGGCGCTTCTTTGTCTTGGGGCTGCTGGTAGGGGTGATGCCATACCAGGGGTGCAGGGTCTTGGATGTAGACTCTGAGTGGGCCAGGGCAGGGCTAGTGGCTAGGCTGGGTGCAGCCGGGGACTCCTCCTCCTCTCCTTCTTCCTCCTCAAAGGGGTTGTAGGGCTTGGGCTCCGGGCCGGCCACTGGACTCTGCTGGGCTGACTCCTCCACACCTCCGTTCTCCACCGTCCTACTGTCCTGGCTCGGTGGCCCTGGGCTGCTGCTTGGAGGGAGTGGGGCCAGCTTCTTCTTTGGCTCTGCCTGTACAAGCGTGATCCATGGTGGGTCCTTCCGGGGGGCTGGCGTCCTGAAGGGAGCGGGAAGATACACAGACCATCAGCAGAGCCAGGGGGCCGGTTCCTTCTCAGGGCAGAGCTGAGTCCATTTCAAAAGAGGTGGCTGAGAAACCGCTCCTCCTCCCCAACCCCACGCATGGGACCATCCCAGCCCAGGACTGACATGGACTGTCATCCTACAGGGCCCCTTGTGCCCCCATGAACCCAGGAAAGGACTGGCAAAGTCTCTGCCACTGGGAAAGCCACCTGGCCTCTCTGTGTCAGTCTCCCCATCCGTTAAACGGAACAATAACAACCCCAGCCTCGCAGGGTGGTTAGAGGACCAGTGGGTGGTGACAGCAGCCCTGGACACAGCACCTGAGCAATGCTAGAGGCCACGTGCCGGGTGCTCCCAGGTACCCGCTGCCCCTCAGACCACACAAGACAGAGCTCCCGAAGGAGCTGGAGCAGAGTCCTCCCCTGGGACACGGGCCTGGAGGGGCCCAGAGGCGGCCCCAAGGCTGAGCTCCCCCACTCTGCTCTCTGCTGCCAAGCCTCCCATGGCTCCCTCTGTGAGCCAGGCCAGGTCTCCCGCGTGACAGGAAATGGAGGCCTGGAGAGGGGACATAACTCCGGAGGCCACTGTCTCCAGCAGACCTGGCTGCCCACCCACACAGGGGTCCGGGGGCGGGTCTGCAGGGGCAGAGGGAATCTGGCTAAGCTACAGGGAAGGGCATGTGGGCATAGCTCCCCTGCCCCACCCAGAGCTGAACCTCACACCTCACTCTGGCATGGCCTTGCCCACCCATGGGAAGCCTGGTCTCCTCCCGGGCCCCAGTGGGCCCCCAAAGCAGGGAAGCCACTCAGCGACTAGCATACCTCTCTGACAACTTGGGAGTCCCTCTCGGCTTGGGGACAGGGGGTTCGTGCAGTCGTCCTAGGTGGAAAAGGAGAGTGAGCCAGGCCTTCATGGGCAGCAGACGGGTGGCCAGTCCCTGCCCGAGTGCCTGCCTGGCACAGACTGTCTACCACCTGGCAGGCCACAGGCACCCACAGCACCTCTGCCACTCCCAGGCCCAGCCCTCGGGAGATTAGACAAGCACTAAAGGTAACTGGGGTGCAGTGGGACATGGGGCACAGTCAGGTCACCTGAGAGCCCCTTTGTGTTCCAGTGAGAAGAGGGAAGCCGGCTGCTCTCAGACACTTCCCCAGTGTAGACAGGAAACGTCTCCACTAAGCCTAGGAAGCCCCTCCTGGCTCTTTAAGTGTCCTTCTGCTTCCTTTCCTCCATCTTTTCTTTTTTTTTTCTTATTTTTTTTAGACAGGGTCTTGCTGTCATGAACCTTCTGCCTCAGCCTCTCCAAGTCACCGGGATTACATGCAGTCACCCTTCAGATTGGGCTAGGAATCGAACCCAGGGCCTCTCGTGTGGTCCCACCCTATAGATCACAGCATTTTGGTACATGCCACCATGACTGGACCCTCTCCTGTATCTCACCAAGACTCCTACATTCTACAGAAGCTGTGCTTCCCCGGCCCCCAGCTCTGGTAGCACCTTAAAGGCACAAATAGGTCTGAACAGTGTCCGTATTCACCGGACCCGGCTCGGGGCCAGGCTCCACGCCAGCTCCCTAAGTGCTGAACAGAACTGAAAAAACGGAATGCTCTGGTGTGGGCCTGAGGGAGACCCTGGTGCTCCTGTCCCTAGGCCTACATCTGCCCTAGAACCGTAGGGGCTACCCAGACATCCCAGCATACAGGGGCTGCGTCTCCACAGCTTATGGGAATCCAGGGAGGTCACGTGGGGTGTCTCACAAGGGGTGGGAGGAATGGACCCAGGAGCAGGCAGGGGTCTGCTCTGCTCAGGGGCACACCTGACCCTGCTGCCCTCCCCCAGCCTGTGAGCCCTCCTCTGCCAGACACACACACCGGCTGGACGTGGGAGGTCACACGAGTGTGCCTATGGATTGTCCAGGACACAAGGGATGACACTGTCACGCAGAGTCCCAGAGACACTCGGGACATACAGACCACATTCACCCGACGCTGGCACAAAAGAACACAAGTACCCCGACAAAGGCAGCAGGCTTAGGCTGGGGTCTGGGTCTGAGCGGCACCAGCATGAAAACAGCGTGGCAGAGAGAAGCCACCAGAAAGTGCACGAATTAGTAACCCCGGAAACGCAGGTAATCCCCACACAATCTCAGTACGCAAGGCACAGAGCAGCTCCCAGACGCAGATTCACTCACTCCAGTGTGCCCGCCCCCAGCTGGACCCTGGCTCACCATTCACCAGGCCGCTGCTGCCGCCCTGCTCCATCGCATTCTCCTGCTGCAGACTGGACCGGGGCCGGGGTGTGGGGGGCGTCAGGGCTGTGCTCTCGGAGGCCTTCCGAGGGGCAGGCGTGGGGCGGCTGGCCGGGGGGCTGGGGGGCGCCTCGGGGGTGTGGGGGGCGTCAGGGCTGTGCTCTCGGAGGCCTTCCGAGGGGCAGGCGTGGGGCGGCTGGCCGGGGGGCTGGGGGAGACACGCGGGTGGGGGGG